AAAACTTAATTTGCGGTTTAATCTATCTCTTTTTTCTTTATTGTCAAAAACTCAATGCCTTATCGACAAATTTAATTATAAATCATAATAATAATAATAATAAATCTTTATTTGTCGTAAAAATACAATACGTAAAGTAAAGTAGGTACAGTTATAGTAAAAAAATAGGTCTTAAAAGTGTCTTGAACCAAGGGGTCTCCAGCCTACAGCCTGCGGGCTACATCCGGCCCTCGTGCAGTTTTATTCCAGCCAGCAGAAAGCCAGCATACGTTTTTGAAAATTATTATTTTTTATAGCAAACACCAATGATATTCTCCCACGATTGCGTAAACACGTGTGGTCAGGTGGTCTCAGCTATACCGTGATCATCTCCCGTGATTTCGCCAAGACTCATGAGCATATTATACTGCAGTCTCGACGGTGCCGTGATTGTCTTTTGCAATCCCAGCAACACCCGTCATTGTTGACCGTGATTTCCTTGAGGTGTAAAAAGAGAACGTTGTCAATGAATGCAGGCTCAGCCATGGGATATTTATTTACCTCGCGGCTCATACCATAATTAAGAGCAATTAACTGTCTTTTCCCCATTCAACAAAATTTGTGTACAATTCCCTGTCTCCAAGTTGGCAGGCTAACCTATTTAAATAGGAACATAGTAAAAGTCTCTCACTTGCTAATTTTTTCTCAATAGGCCTAGGGGAATATTAGCAGTAGTCAAGTAGCGGCAGATTAATTTAAATATCCTATATTTTAAATTGATCCTAATTGGCAGAACTACAAATTGAAATCTTAAACTAGCTGACATTTTAAGTGTCATATTATATAGCCTATTCTCACTAAAAAATCATTGCACTTTTTGTCAAAGATTTAGCTTAGAATGCGATTACTTCTTAACTGCACATCTTTCGTTAGAATTAGAGGCATTTATAATTTTATTTTATGAACAGAACTATATTTTAGATTATTAAAAAATGGAAACTGATGTAGTTTACTTGTTTATGGATAGATTTTGATAAAATTTGGCAAACTTATTTACTTTATCCTATACTATTGACGCATGCTCAAAAAAACTTTTTACCTTCTCCATAGCAGCAAACCTAAGCTCTTGTTAAATCTAATCTTCATTTGATTTTTATCTTATATATATTTTTTTTATTATCAGCAAGTTAGGTTAGCTTATGACAGTTTAATTTTATAATAGAATGCTCTCATTTTGTCCGTAGTAAGCCTTAATTCGATTTTTTCACTATCAGCAAGTTTGGTTAATTAGGTTAGGTTATGACAGTTTAATTTTATAATAGAATGCTCTCATTTCGTCCGTATCACAAAAAGCCTTTACCTTGTGACAAACGACAACTACAATCGCATCGATAGTAGATGATGTTGTGATTCGATAGAGTAACGAACAATTAACGTTAGTCGCTAAATCGGTGGCGTTTTTAGACGAAAAAGTGTTCACCGAGGAAAAAAAGGTTGGAGGCCCCTTGTCTAACATATTATATTTTATCTATAGCTGTCTTGCTGTCTTAGAAAATAACTCTGTTGAACCTCTTTTACAGGAACAATAGAAAAATCAAGGAGGCCATTTGGGAGATGAAGAAGACCAGAATATTTTTTTTGTAAATTGTACATATCTTTTTTATATTTGTGTTTAAATAATTTTTAATTAAACTTATTTTATCATACAAACAAAATTTTTTCTTTAAAATGTTTTCCTTGAATGCAATTTTGTTTTAAACAAATATGTTTGTGATACTTTTATTAACGTTTTGTCAAATAAGAAATATATATATATTTACATTTTTGGGTAACTTTTACAAACTACCTATAACTTCAGAATAATAAGTCAAATCAACGTAAGAACAGTATAGAGGTCTGAACTGCTATTATTTTAATCGCCATGAAATTTGAAATGTGAAAAATGCAACCTAATTCTTCTAAACATATTTTACCAATAAATTTATGAGACATTTATTTGATATTCAATTTAATATTTATTTAATGTCAAATTAAGTGAGGTTGAACCTAAATTGACCATTTATTTGATATCAAATGAATGTTCGTGAATATCAATTTAATATTCGAATGTCAAAAATGTTATATCAATATTTATCACCATCATATTTAAAATGTGAATGTAAATTCAATCATATTCTCTTTATCATATTTTACCAATAAATTTATGAATGTCAAATTTGATGTTTATTTTATATTCAATTTGAATATTTATTTGATGTAAAATTGAGTGACGTTTGAACCTAAATTGAACGTTTATTTGATATCAAATGAATGTTCGTGAATATCAATTTGATATTCAAATGTCAAAAATTTGATAGCTATTTGATATCAAATAAATATTCGGTGCTATGTGGGTATATATTAGTAACCAAGATGTGACATTAAAAAATACTTGAAAACAACTGCCCAACAAACAGCTAATTTCTACTAAAACTAACTTTATTTTCTATCAGTTAGTTTTTCAACTAACTAATAACTTCTATCAGTTACTTTTTAAACTAACTAACTTATAACTTCTATCAGTTACTTTTTACGGGACTAACTTATAACTTCTAACTAGTTAGAATTTTTTACTAACTTTCCCAACTATGAAATGCATTACTTATCAGGTGACAGCAAAGGAAAATTGGGGGCTCTCATTGCTCCACTCTGTATAAGTTAAACAAAGTTTAAAGGGTTTGTATTCATTGGTTAAACCAAGTTACCAGTAAGTGAATCTGAAAGATAAGTGTATATAAGCAGGGCCGGATTTCCCAATAGGCCCGGTAGGCCCGGGCCTATGGGCGCAAGCTCCCAGAGGGCGCACGGCCGAGAGGAAAAATATTTTTTAATATCTAAAAATAAAATAAATAGCCATAGCTTAACATATTTTGCGAGTTGATAAAAAAGAACTCTTGCCAATAAAGCATTATAATTATATTACTGTTACAACATTACACATCAATTTCGTTACAACATTGGTAACGAACATTGGTTATACAGGAGTAGGCTGTAGGGATGTTGTCAAGCGCCCGAGCGGTACTCATCGTATTGCCACTGTAATCTTTGCACTGCCACTATGCTGGCTCGGCGCTACTGATCGGAGTGATTGGGGGCGCATGCGTACTAGACACCATATTACCACAGACAATATAATACTTTAATGGTTAAAGTATTATATTGTTTGTGATATTACCGTTTACCACCCTCACCTCACAAAAAATAGTAGTTTACGCAACGATTGCGTTAAGTGAGTCTTTACGACACGAGTAGAAAATTTAAGGCACGAGCCTTGGCGAGTGCCTTAAAAACTTCTACGAGTGTCGTAAAGACTATTAACGCGAGTTGCGTACACTACTTTACCTACGACCGTTTTTTAATTACTATCAATCTGGATTTAATTACTAACAATAACTACTGATAACTTTTTAGAGAGGTTATGTTTTCGTGTATTGTCATTGCCACTGAAAGTGATGCAACGACTTGTTGTATAATCAGCTGATTTCCTGTAATTACGTGTTTGTTAAACTTCGTTAAATATTACATTGCTAGCAGCATTCTTACCATAAATAATATTGTATCAGGTACAATTTGGCAAATATTTAATTTGTTTTTGGACTTCCACCAACTTAATTAAGAATACGCGAGTATCAACATGAACAAGTCGGATCAACAATTAAATTGGTCAACTGATCAGCTGATCAGCTGATTAGTTGACGTTCGAAGCATTACAATTTTAATTCTTTTCTCTCAATACTTGAACCTCATTGGTCCGTTACCTGTGTGGATATGAGAAAACTATGCGGATATGAAATGAAACTATGCGGATATGAAAGTAAACAGCTGTAAAGTGAAACTTTTCAATTCTAAGAACTGGACTGAAATGGCTACTTTAAAAAACGGTCGTAGGTAAAAATCATTAACTAATCTTTTGATCAGTTTACCTGCAGGGTCAAGTTAAAATATATAATACGTTTTGTTGAATACCTATTAAAAATACGATAAGTTTATCTTGTCTTTTATAAGTTTATCTTTATCAATTTATCTAAAATTCAATAACGAATAAATATTTATCTGAGTTTGCAACAGGTTTTAGAAAAATTAAATCCCCTCCAAAGAAATCATTAATGGTGTCATTTTCTCCTCAGCTTAGACCTGAGGATAATTATGGTCGGCGGGACTATTGCTTTGTTTTGCTTTGCAAATATAATCTGGATGCAGTACTTCCATAGATTAACCATAAACTCAAGTCGACTTTTTATCACATTGTTAATTCTAATCTAAATATAGTTTTTAATGTCTAGTTCATATATGTTGGTGACACTGGAAGTTACTTTTCACGTAATTTTGTTTCTATTATTTTATGGATAGTTCTATGTTGTGTGTTTTAATTTCTTGTAATATAACCTGGGGAAGACCTACTGTTTATGATTACATCGTTTTATTTTGAACAAACAAGGTTTAAATAACTTAAATAAAAAGAATTGTTTTCAGCTAATCCCTAAGGATGACAAATCTACTAAAGTAGTAGGCCTACGTTTAATCTATGGTATCACGTACTGTTATGGCGTTCATGTTTTGGGGCCTGAAATTGGAATCAATGGATATGCTTTTTTGCAGGAATGCTCTGTGGTTTGGATTGTTTTGTTTCAGTCCCACAAGCGTGAGCATTTGCCAAAAGTATAAAACTGACAAAAGTGTTTAAGACGGCATTTTGTTAAGGCTAACCAAGACAATTCTTCAAAAAACTTGCAATTATAAAATTCCGACGAGGAGTGGTGTTCAAGCAATTAACATAGGCCTATAAATAGGAATCATATAGTTTTAATAAAGGTTTGTAGGAAAGAAACTGTGACCAGACTAGGGGGCGGAAAAATTATTTGGGCCTAGGGGCGCCAAAATGCTAAATCCGGCCCTGTATATAAGCTATTTACTTAAGAGAGGAAAGGAAGTACAGTAGACTAATAAAAATGAATGAAAATTAAAGTAATGAATTTTCTCACCTGGGTGATGATTTTAAAAGATGGATAAAGAAGTTCAGATAAGGATTCCTGTGCTATTACTTCAAAGATTGATGGTTTGGCTTGGAGAGATGATGTTATATGAGCAGCATTTTCTGCCATTGTTCATTAATTGTTCAAATTTATTATATTTTAGCCTATTATTCATTTAATGAATGTTTACTTTTAGATAAAAGTTGGCCAAACCTGAAACAAATGATGTTTTGTACTGTACTGGATGGTACAAACAATGCACATCTATGTTTACTCGTGCCATGGTATCAGGGCCGCCCCGAGGGCAGGGCGAGCGGGGCGACCGCCCTGGGCGCCGCAGCTAGGGGGGCGCCGCGGCTTTGGAAGGTAAAAATTTAACAACGTTATCGGCGAACCGCAAACAAATATTTTACCGGAAACTCGCAAACATGTAATCAATGACAATGACTATAAAAAAGGCAATCTATATAGCTTTCGCTTTATTCATATTATTTATTATACAACGCGTACTATTACTACTTATACGTCTGGCATGTGACTTAAAAATTGGCAATACTGCAAGTCCAAGACACTCACTGCGTATTCACGACGCCCCACATACACTTGCTTGTTTCTAACCTCAAAGCTTAACAAACTCTCGTCAACTCATAGTCGTTTTGTGATGTCCGTTGTCAGTCGTAGCATAGATAAAACATAGTATGTTTTATCTTTGGTCGTAGATTCAATGTTTTTAGTAATTTAGTTCAGTTTAGTTGTTACATTTATAAAGAATACTATGCAAAACGTTCGATATCGATATATCAGATGTTGGGTCTAATGACGGTTGACGCAAACCCCCCAAATACCTTTTTTGGGGAGGGGCGAAAATTTAAATCTCGCCCCGGGGGTCTATTACCCTCGGGGCGGCCCTGCATGGTATTGTGTTGACTGCCAAGTGAAATAGTGCTTAAAACCTTGTAAACTGAAGTTTGTGCATTGCAGTGCAAAGTGATGTCAATTCTGGACGCAGATGCCTTGGAGTTGGAATATCGATTAATGATTGATGCTATCTAACATTAACACTTTAAAAGCTCTAAACCTATTTTTTATAGTTTCTGTTATTTATTTTAAGGTTATGTCTTTTATAATACACCTATTTATATATTAACTTCACATGTCCATATTTAACTAAAATAAAAGCAAAATACCCCCGCTGCAGCAAACCTGCAGACTAAGCGAATTTCAACTTGTCTGATTACATTTTTACTAAAATATTTCCATAAATGGCAAATATTTACCGTATTTACACTGGGATATGATGTAATTTTTATATGTCTACTTACAGTATTTTTAACGCTGAATCCAAAAATGCAATCAGTTTTGGTCGGAGAGATTCCTAAGTGGCGGTAGCGGCTGTAAAACGAAGGTTAGGATTACGAATCTAAAAAGGAAAATTTAGCGGTATTGAAGGTAATGGTAATATGGCGTGGTCTGGACGGGTCCGTACTGAGTGAAGAGTGAGGAGTGAGGACTGAGTGAGAAGAGCAAACAACTGTTTATACTTGATCTAATGCGGAATGAAATCAAATCAATTCGTTTTGAAACCAAATGATCAGTTCTTATTTAGGCATGTGAGGAAGGTAGGTCGGGTTTTGTGCGGATTCGTGACTGTATTAAGTGTTTTGAAGTGAGGTTAGATTAGGAAGGTAAAGGTTAGGTTCATTATAACCTAACCTTTAACTTACCTAATCTAACCTCACTTCAAAGGACTTAATATAGTCACGAATCCTTCCTCACATGCCTTTTCTGACATAAAATGTGATTTAAACTTTAATATTAAGGTTGGGTTGGGTTAGGTTGGATTAGATTAGATTATGGTTACATCATTTATTAGTTGCTGATACATTAAATTATGCACTGTGGGACGTTTTCACTTTTAGACACAGACACAATGGGATTATGTACTATGGGATTATGCACTATGGCACGTTCATTACCAGACGTTGAGGCATTAGTCAATGGTTGAGGATTGGAATGAGGACGATGATCATGTCGGCAGTGGCCTAGCTTCTATTACTGATATTTTACGTGAATAAATTCTATTTTGTTTTATAATTTATGTTCATGTGATTAATAGTTTATGTATGGTAGTTGATTTATTGTATTTTATAAACAGCACCAAAGTGCATTTTCTTTTTCCTACAGTTACCTAACAATGTACATGTAACAATGTACATGTTCTCTCACTGATTTGAGAAAGCAAAGTGGCCAATTCGCTCATCAGTGAGACAATGTCTCACTCCAGATTTGCAGCATGAAGGCACGAAATAGTGAGCGCGTAACATGCAGGCAACGTCGTATGCGTGCGAAATACGTTGGCAGCACTGGCTGGTCAGCTGGTCAGCTGTTGTACTGTTGTATTTGTCACTTCACATTAAATGTTATATTAAAAGTTCACTTCTGTGTAAAAATAGGTTGGTTATGTTTCTTCACAAATTTATTTGTTTTATGGTAACTGTAGGAAAAGTATAATGTGCAACTCGAGTTCAAAGTACAATTGCCTCACTCGAGAAACCATTCCTCACTCGCCTACGGCTCGTGAGTAAGGATTTCTCTCGAGTGAGTAAATTGCTCACTTTTCTCACTAGTTGCACAAATAACTATTTCATCTAGTTATTGCATATTGTACGGTAACTCTGATTTTGCTCTCATGGCGTCGTCTGTGGTTTTTTCTGTTTAGTATAGAATGTAAACAACTGACAGCTGTTTCCACTCCACAAAACTTCCACCCCTTTTAGTTTAGTCGCCACTAGATTTTGGACTTGTCCATACCACAAATATGTTAATAAATCAACAAAACTGAAGCTTAATATTAATTATATAACTGTACGGCCACTTAGGAATCTCTCCGACCAAAACTAATTGCATTTTTGGATTCAGCGTTAAAAATACTGTAACTTAAGTAGACATATAAAAATTACATAACATCCCAGTGTAAATAGGGTAAATAATTACCGTTTTATTGTATAGTATTATAAAATTGACGCTATCTATCCCTATCACAGTCAAAGATATAGAAGACAAGTATCAAGTAAGTAAGTAAGTAGGCATGTCAGGGTGGTGGGCCAAGTTTTATGCGAAATCGTGACTTTATTAGTGTTTTGAAGTTAGGTTAGATGAGGAAGGTAAAGTTTAGGTTAGGGCCTATAATGAATTGATTTGTTAGTGTATGTTACCTACAGACTGTTTTTGTAAAATTAATACCCTGATAATTACTGTAAAGTACTATTTCAAAAATGCAACCTATTCGATTCATTAACCTAAACATTAACTTAGCCTACATTAGGCTACCTTATCAAACCTACCTCCAAAAGACTTAATGCAGTCACGAATTTGCATAAAGCCTGACCGTCACCCCTAACATGCCTTTTCTGACATCAAAAGAAGTTTGCTAACTGCTCTAGAGGTTTGGTTAGGTTATGTTAGGAAAGCACCATTTTATTATGTAATTCCTAAACTGCTAAATATAAATCATTAATAAGAATAAAATACTGGTAACAATAATAAATTAGCCAAATAATAAATTGGTACAGTTACCAAACATAAAAATGCCAATGTTAAAATTTAAAACACAAAAAATTTGCCTAACTTAAGCCCATTAGGGTTAGGTTTGTTACTTGAGACTAGCTTTGATGGGCAGCTTAAAACGGCTAGTCCCATCACAATATTGGTGTGAACCTGGCAATAACTCCAGCCATAAGTAGTGCGGCAGTGCGCGCGCCCGAAAAAATCTATTGCTGGCCGTTTTGCGGCAAAATACGGCCGCATAACATGAAACCGATGATGTCACCAGATAGAGGACAGTTTAACGGACACAACAGTATCAATATCATGTACCTGGGGGATAAGAAAGGGGGGGTAAAGTCAGCAATAAGTAGTGGGCGCGCCCGAAAAAATCTATTGCCGGCTGTTTTGTGGCAAAATACGACCGCGTAACATATTACCGATGATGTCACCCGATAGAGGACACTTTGACGGACACGACAGTATCAATATCGGCTGCACTTTACTTGACGTCCTACACTCATTTGAATGAAAATATCGATCGATATATCGATTAATCGATTGCTTCATTCGATATATCGTTTGAACCAAACGATATATCGAATGAAACAATCGAATGAAAATATTGAATCGAAAAAACAATCGAATGAGTGTAGGACGTCAAGTAAAGTGCAGCCTCAATATCATGTACCTAGGGGATAAGAAAGGGGGGGTAAAGTCAGCAATAAGTAGTGGGCACGCCCGAAAAAATCTATTGCCGGCCGTTTTGCGGCAAAATACGACCACGTAACATGAAGCCGATAATGTCACCAGATAGAGGACACTTTAACGGACACAACAGTATCAATATCATGTACCTGGGGGATAAGAAAGGGGGGGCCAGCAATAGATTTTTTCGGGCGCGCCCACTACTTATTGCTGACTTTACCCCCCTTTCTTATCCCCCAGTTACATGATATTGATACTGTCATGTCCGTTAAAGTGTCCTCTATCTGGTGACATCATCGGTAACATGTTACGCGGCCGTATTTGCCGCAAATCGGCCAGCAATAGATTTTTTCGGGCGCGCGCACTACTTATGGCTGGAGTTATTGCCAGGTTCACACAAGTCATCACAATAACTTATATTTGTGATTGTGTTTAGTTATTAAGGGTGAAACATATCATTTGATATACTTACTTACTTCAGTAAATTCCATTAGATGTAAGTAAATACTTAAGCCTGCCCAAAAACAGTGAATTATGAACTGTTTGATTTTTACTCCATGTCACCACACTATAGACTAGGGTAGAGTTTTAATTGGTACTATCATAGATAAAACATATGGTACTATGCTGTGTTAAAGGTTAAATAGTGTCTTGCTGTTTGTTTTGATAAAACCTCGCATCCTCCTGACTAAATCAGTGGCCTCTATTGCTGGTGGGCTATGTTTTATCTATGGTATAAAGGTGCAATCTAAATCTAACCTAGAAAAGAAGACATAGTTATTGAATAAACAAAAAACAAAACCCCTGGATGTAGTAACACATATTACATTATACGTCATACAGTTGACAGACAGGGTCTGACTTACGGGAGGTATGAATGAGGCATCGATGACATCATAGTTTAGTTCAAAATTCTTCTGTGAACAGCGCTGTAGTAGAGAGCACTTTGGCTATAATGAAGGTTTACTAATCGAAAAATAGGTTCTGTTCATAAAATAAAACTAGAAAAATGGCTCAGTTTCAATTTTATAATATTTTTATTATAAAATTAAACTGTCAAAACCAAACCAAACCAGCCAAACTTGCTGACAATGAAAAATCTTAGACAAAAAGTTAGTGCTACCGGCGGGATTCGTAAAACTGGTATCTTCAGTTTATTAGCCCGGCTTTCTATCCATAAGACTACCGAGGCCGATGGCTCCACACTGTATCGTTGCGGTAATTGTGCTCCTTCAGCTAATAAGAAGCCTCCAAACGTCATCGTAAGCTCATCCATACCTCCCTTGAGTAAAAACCTGACAGACAGACTTGACGCATGGTGGTAAACAACAGACGACAACGTCCTAGCGGCGACAGCAGGGTAGGATCATTGACTATATAACACTACTGTAGTGTTATATAGTCAATGGGGGAGGCCTTCTTTTAGGCAACCTTTCATCTAGGTACCATTTCACTTAAATCACATATCAAGTTGGTACCGACAACTCAAATCGGTCAGCTAGGTCCCGGCCCCTCCCTTCTGGGGGAAGGGCGTGGCTTCGCCGTGGTCACGTGTTTCGCGGTGCGGTCGCTTACCCTCTACACTTCTGAAAATTCCCGCGACTTCTTTGAACTACCTCTACTCCACCCAAATTTCAGCCATCCTTCGTCTCGTTTCTTGTTCTGTTCCGCGTTTCTTCTTCTTCTCTTCTAGATCTGCTGCTGCTCTAGCTCTGCTCTAGTCTAGTAAGTTTGAGGTTGGATTTTGGAGAATTTATTGTTTGTCAATTTCAATTGTCAAATTGTCATACAAATTTGTATTTTAGGTGTGTATTTTCAATTTAGGCCTAAGTTACAACAACAACTACTACAGTTTAAAGAACCATTTTTGTCATCACAAAATTAAAAGGTGTAACTTATTGACATGGACATGGTAAGCTGCTAAGCCCATTTCACCTGGATGGATGGTTTTGCCTGTAACTGGTATTAGTGTGGTGGCTTAGAGACAATATCGGCAAGGATCGTGACCTGATGGATTAAAGCTGCAGCTTTTGCACATTTCTTCCATACCCTAAATACAAACAATTTATGGGGGGGTGCCCGATTTTTAGGTCCGCCATCTTGAAATACGACGCCATCTTTGTTTTCTTTAGAGGAATTGAACTATTCATAGAAAATGGCCTAAAATCACCCAAAAGGACACATTTACGCCATTTTGTATATAACATGTTTTGTTCACAATTAAATTTGCTATAAAATGAGATAAAAACCTTTTCGATAACTTAAATAGTCTTGAAGATATAAACTGTTAAAGTTGAAAATTTGATATATTCCTCTAAGCTACATGTAGTTTTTGCTATATATCACCCAAACGGTCAACGGTACGTATCTGTTATTATTATATATTTTATTTGTAATTAAATTTGCTACAAAATGAGATGAAAATCTCTAAATAACCTTAAGTAGTTCGGAAGGTATAAAGCGTTAAAGTTATAAGCTTGTTTAATTTCTGTATGCAATAGGTCGGTGTTTCTTAAAAGTCCCCGCGCTTTGTTTTTTCTGCACGTATTGCGTCAGAAGACTGCAGATTCACACATCAATACTGGACCTAAAATAGTACTTTTTAAAGTACTTCTTGACTTTTTTCGCCCAAGGGGGGTCGGGCCACAAGGAGTAAGTTGAAAATCTTAAATAAAAGCATAGGCCATGATGCATATTAAATTAAAGAGATTTACCTGTAGAACGCGTTACCACAAACTGCACTTTAAAAGGACAAGTGGGTCAAAAGTTATACAATTTTATAGTTTTGCTTATTTATTTATTAATGGTCAACACCATTTCATCTCATCTTGATGAAGCTTGGAAAGTTCCCTAGGGGTCTTAAAAATGGTAATGTGCTACCAATTTTCAAGGAAGGTGACCCATTTGTCAAAAGTTATCGTCCAGTGGTGGTACAACCTACATTGGCTAATATATTTCCAGCAATTCTACTTCATGGACTCTCTTTTTCTTTGAACAATGTCATCGTGTCCTATCAACATGGCTTCAATAAAGGGCGAACTACCTTGACCAATTTGGTTCCGTACCAGGATGACATAATGCAAGCCTTTTCTCGTAACCATAAGGTCGATTCTGTCAATTTGGACCTATCCAAGGCTTTCTACCGTGTAAGTCACACTTATCTCGTGGCAAAGCTTGGTGGATTGGGATCACTGAATCATACTTGTATGATTTGAGGACTATTTGTGGAATCACTTTTTAACAATGAAATTTGCTGGAGCGAAGTCTTGTAAGATTGAAGCTTTTTTTGGTGTACCTCAAGGATCTATCTCTACTGGGACCAATTTTATATTCAATATTCAGTAATATACAGTGTGTAAAAAATGTCTCCCCCCCCCTATTTATTTTTTTTATTTTTTAAAATAATGAAATATCGTTTGGGGAGTGATAGTAACATAACGTGAAGTTTCTTTTGACATAGTTAAAATTTTTGAATTCCCCCCCTAAATGGGGGGTAAGGGGGGTAACTCAAAATTTTTAAATGTAAACCCCTAGCTTGTGACACCTCATTTGAAAGAGCATTAAAAAACTAGGTAAATGGTGAAAACTAGAAATTTCTATCTAATTTCTAACCGGAATTACAGCCAAAAACGCTCAAAATTACAATATTTTTGGGAAACTCAAAATTGTAATTATTGCATACACCCTTTGAGTGACCCCTCATTTGAAAGAGCAATAAAAATCAGGCTTATGTTATTAAATTAAAAAACTGTTACTTCCTACAGCCAAAAATTTCTTAGAGCTAATAAATTATTATTTTAATAAAATCTTTTATTTCTTTATTATTGCAAAAGAGCAAAATAACATCTTTTGAAAAAAAGTGAAAATGAAATGTATTGGTTATCCACAACAGAGCAAGTACAAACTAAAAATTTAAGGTTATTACAATAAGAAATTTTCGTGAACATGAGTTTGTTTCATTAGATGACCTTTGCTCAGCCGGTTTTCCCTGTTTGCCCTGGCATGGGTTTCCTCAACTCATTCTGTCAATGAGCTGTTACCGACAGGTCTAGGTCAGTACTGCAGCATAAATTCAATTTCTATTTAATAATAACAATTATGTAACTATTTGATAACTGTAAAGACTTTTTTGTTCATTAAAATTCTCTAAGGTTAATAATTAATTGTTAGTTTGTTGCTATTTAGTTAGTCAGGTTTTTTAATTTAGTTTCTTTATTCAATAGTTAGTTTTTTGTTAAAAGTTTATTAGAAATTTTTAATAATGGCTCGAAGCAAAGACGATAAGGTGGAAATGGTTTTAACTTTTGGTGCCTCGAATGAAAACTACCACGAGACAGAAAGGAGATTCAACGAAGCACATCCTGATCGACCAGTGTGTCGAAAATATTTGAGGGAACTAATTGGCAAGTTCAGACGAACTGGATCCGTAGCTAATGCTCCAAAATCAGGCCGAACATCTTTAGACGAAGAAACACAATTTGAAGTTGTGGCAGAATTTGTAGAGGATCCTCAGCAGTCGACTCGATCAGTTGCTACACTGTGTGACTTATCCCATCAAACAGTTCGAAATATTTTAAAGAAAAATAAATTTCACGCTTATAAATTTAAACTTGTCCATGCATTAAACGACGATGATCCAGACCGTCGACTTCAATTTTGCGAAGAAATGGAAGAACTAATCAAAGCTAATCCACATTTCGTGTATAATGTAGCTTTTTCAGACGAATGCACTTTTTTTGTTAATGGAACTGTCAATAAACATAACTGCAGATACTGGGATACTGCAAACCCCCATGTTTACCGAGAATCCTCAACGCAGTACCCAGAAAAATTAAATGTATGGGCTGGGATGTTGGGTAATCATATCCTAGGACCATTTTTCATCGATGGCAACCTCAATGGAGAACATTATTTGCAAATGCTTCAAGAGTCGGTTTTTCCAGCCATAGTGGAAGTTATTGCACAACATCCACATGAGTTTGATGAAGATATTGTTCACTTCCAGCAGGATGGCGCTCCCCCTCATTTTCATCGACAGGTCCGAGCATTTCTAAATACACAACTGAATGGTCAGTGGATTGGCAGGCGTGGCCGGATAGAATGGCCAGCACGGTCCCCCGATCTAACACCTTTGGATTTTTTTCTATGGGGGTTTATTAAATCGACAATTTATAAAACTCCCGTACAGAATATTGAAGACTTGAGACACAGGATTGTTGAAGCCTGCAGAAAAATCACTGAGGAAACATTCCATAACGTGAGGGAAGAGTTCACGTCTCGTTTATTTTACTGTCAGGAAGTAGGAGGACTTCAGTTTGAACATTTGCTGTGAATTTATTTGGTGAACACAACATCGCTACTGTTATTTCGCACTTAAGGTTAGTTTGTTTGTAAAAATCATAAAAAACCATCTAATTACCTGTTAGAAATTATTAATCCTTATCATTGGCCTGATTTTTATTTAATCTTTCAAATGAGGGATCACTCAAAGGGTGTATGCAATAATTACATTTTTGAGTTTCCCAAAAATATCGTATTTTGAGCGTTTTTGGCTGTAATTCCGGTTAGAAATTAGATAGAAATTTCTAGTTTTCACCATTTACCTAGTTTTTTAATGCTCTTTCAAATGAGGTGTCACAAGCTAGGGGTTTACATTTAAAAATTTTGAGTTACCCCCCTTACCCCCCATTTAGGGGGGGAATTCAAACATTTTAACTATGTCAAAAGAAACTTCACGTTATGTTACTATCACTCCCCAAACGATATTTCATTATTTTAAAAAATAAAAAAAATAAATAGGGGGGGGGAGACATTTTTTACACACTGTATGACGTTGTCAAAGATTCTTGACAACCGGGTTCATTCGCTCCTATTCCTCTGATAAGACCACCATTTTGAGAGAGGTGCCTCAGGGCTCTGTTTTAGGACCTATCCTATTCCTGCTCTTCATTAACACCCTTCCATCTTGCATATCAACCGCCAAACCAACACTATTTTCTGATGACACCTCACTCTCCATTTCCAGCCTCACCATCGAAAGCTTGGAGCTCACTACCTTTCGGGAAACAAGTAGTTAATCGAGTGGTTTGATTCCAACTTTCTCTCCGTCAACGCCGAAAAAACCCAACTTTTGCACTTTTATATTTCAAAGAGACTCTCTAATGGATTCAGCCTAATTCTGGATGACACAGTTCATCCAACTAACAGTGTTAGGTTTCTGGGACTGACACTGTATAAACATTTTGATTTCTCAGATCACATTAAGCAGGTTTCAACAAAAGTCAGTTCTGGAATTTTTGTTCTACGTAGTTTAAAGAACACATCTACCTTCGAAATTCTAATATCCGTATATTACGGACTAATATATCCTCATTTAGCGTATGATATAGCCTATTCCTATAGCGTATGCTATACCTATATGAGACTATGAAATTTAAAAAAATAAATTTCTATTTAAATTCCAAAAGTGGGCTGTGCGAACAATTTTATCTCTGCCCAAACGAAAATCATGTAAAAAGTTTTCTCAGAATCGAAATGCCTCCAGCAGGACATCAATGGAATTTCAATGTGGTTTATGCAAAATGGAATGCTTTTGAATGAATTAAAGTGGATGATAGTTCCATTCAACAGGACCTCAACAACCTCTCTTTTAAACTATTCAATAAATGGGAATGCACTTGTTAGATCCACCTCGGTCAACGACCTTGGAGTATCAATTACATCATATCTCAACCCTGATGATCAAGATAACAGGTTAACAAGGAAAGCAAACTCAGACCTTGGTTTCATTCTGAGATTATCCAGAAATGGGTTCTCTGTGTGGGTTGTGCTCTCCTTGTTGGAATATAGTTCTCCTGTATGGTCCCAATTTATACAGTTGGTCGTTCACAGGACATCGAAAGAGTGCAGCTCTTGTTTTAGAATCGTAGGACTTCGTCTGGGATACCCATTCAGGGTTTTACCCATTTGAGGATCTTCGACAGCATCTTCGGCTAAACCACTTGAGTTCTCGAAGGCGTATTACTGACCTGGTTTTCCTGAGGAAGAATCTCATTGCAGAACTTGACTCTCCTGATCTGCTGAGCAGGGTAAATTATCGCTGCTCCAGACCATCCTGATCTCAGGACCTATTTGAAAGGGGATATCATTCTACAGCATATGCCTACAACAGCACGCTACCAGGACTACATCGTTTGGGAAACAGTATTCCTAAAATTCTCGAATTTTTCTCCTCAAGTTTTATTACTTTTAGGAAAGGCTGCTTGCTTGTTTCTCATAATCCTTGGTGGTCCATAATACAGTAGAGTGGTCCTATGATCCAGTTTGTTATTGCATTTCTTGTTTGCTTTCATATTTATTAAAATGTTGATGCATGTTGATAGAATTTTTAAATATCATCACTTTAAACCGATCAATTTATGGAATTCCAGGTTTATTGACATCTTTTTTATTCAATTCTTGATAAGTTTGTTATACATTTATTCTTGTTGATCATTGTTTTGCTTGTTAAAACTATTGTTTAATATGTATGATCCTTGTTGTTAAGTTCCGTTACGTATGTTATATGTTATGCAATGAGATGAAATGGTGTAGACCGTTAATTAATAAATAAATAAGCAAAACTATAAAATTGTATAACTTTTGACCCACTTGTCCTTTTAAAGTGCAGTTTGTGGTAACGCGTTCTACAGGAAAATCTCTTTAATGTGATATCTATCATGGCCTATGCTTTTATTTAAGATTTTCAACTTACTCCTTGTGGGCCGACCCCCCTTGGGTGAAAAAAGTCAAGAAGTACTTTAAAAAGTACTATTTTAGGTCCAGTATTGATGTGTGAATCTGCAGTCTTCTGACGCAATACGTGCAGAAAAAACAAAGCGCGGGGACTTTTAAGAAACACCGACCTATTGCATACAGAAATTAAAGAAGCTTATAACTTTAACGGTTTATATCTTCCGAACTATTTAAGTTAATTTAGAGATTTTCATCTCATTTTGTAGCAAATTTAATTACAAATAAAATATATGATAATAACAGATACGTACCGTTGACCAGGGGTGCCCAGAGGGGGGGTACTGTGGCGCGTTTGCGCCACAGGAATTTTTGGGGGGGGACTTTTTTGAGGGGATTTTGGGGGGGGATGTTTTTTGCTAGCTGTCATAATGAATGAATAATTTTGTATAAGCAGCCCGAAAAAGTGTTTCTAAGTAGCTCACTATCAACACCAATAACATTTTGCCATTCGTAATTAAGATTTGCTTCTAAGAATGGTAAAAACGCACCTTGTAAGACAATCCTTAATATACCAGTGTCAGTGTCGAATTTTATTTGCTACATATGTTTTGGTGGTTCTTTACCTCCACCACACAAAACACGAATCGATTACAGATAGGCCTATCAATTCACGCGTATATATTGCCGTCGTCAGAACTGGAAGTAAACTGAATCAGGTTCAGGTTATGACGGACAGACGTGGTCTCTGGATTGTCGTCTGCATTGTCACCAGCTGATATAGGACTATTGTAGTGACTGAGAAGAGTGTTAAAAGTATAATTGGATTCATAATTAATTGAGTGTTTTCACTCAAAAATTTTGCGCTGTCCCTAGTTTTATGTATTTATATATTTCAAACTCCTCAAAGTATTTAATAAATTTCCTTTCGTGCAGTACTGTAGAATTTCGAGACCATAATTTATATCCAGCAGATAAATTGGTTATTATTGTCAATAATTTTAAATGGAAAACTCAATTATGAATCCCATTATATTTTCAACACTCCTCCGTCACTACAACTAGTCCAATATCAGCTTTTGATAACACAGACGACAATCCAGAGACCACGTCTTTCCGTCATAACCTGATTCAGTTTACTTCCAGTCCTGCCTGCGGCAATATACTCACGTGAATTGATAGGCCTATCTGTTATCGTTTCGTGTTTTGTGTATAAACAGATTGTCTGACAAGATGCGTTTCTACCATTATTAGTCATAAAAGGCAATCCTGGGGCTATCAAAATTAATTATAAGATTACTTCGTCACAAAAACCTTTTGTGGGCATTTTGCCTGGCAATTTTTGTAGAGTAAAATCGAGTTTTTGGAGTGTGTTGTTTGGAGTGGCGGTGTTTGTAGAGCCAGGGAGTGGCGAGCAACAAGTCTGTCTTATTTCGTGACTGCCTATAATTTTGAAAAAAAAAACTTTGCCAAAGTATTATTAATGCATTTTTAAAGCGGTTTGATTTCTTAAAATTCTTCTCTGAGATTCTTTCTCTGTAAAATTTAACGCCACCTAATATATTGTACAGTTACAATACTGTGTTGGAGTAGAGTAATTCACCTAGTACAGTATATTGTTGTACGTTTTGAAGACGTTATTGCAGTACTGAGCACATGTTAGCTGACAATAGAGATTCTGAAATGTAAATTGAAACACTTCTAATTCGTCCATTAGTTAGATATACCTGATGAAGTATTGTTAAATGTTGTTAACGTTTCCTATTAAACATTTAATTTTTATTATCAGCAAGTTTGTTTTTCTTTACCTCAAGTTTACTAAATACTAAATTGGAATGCTCGTCTTATGAGGTAATGGGAAAATTTTCAGATAAATTGGTGGGGGGGGAGGGTAGGTTTAAATAGACGGCAGCATAAATTGGGGGGGAGAACTACTCCTTTGGCTTGGGGGGGGCGGGGGTTGCGCCTCTGGGTTTGGGGGGGATGGGCACCTCTGCCGTTGACCGTTTGGGTGATATATAGCAAAAACTATATGTAGCTTAGAGGAATATATCAAATTTTCAACTTTAACAGTTTATATCTTCAAGACTATTTAAGTTATCGAAAAGGTTTTTATCTCATTTTATAGCAAATTTAATTGTGAACAAAACATGTTGTATACAAAATGGCGTAAATGTGTCCTTTTGGGTGATTTTAGGCAATTTTCTATGAATAGTTCAATTCCTCTAAAGAAAACAAAGATGGCGTCGTATTTCAAGATGGCGGACCTAAAAATCGGGCACCCCCCCATAAATTGTTTGTATTTAGGGTATGGAAGAAATGTGCAAAAGCTGCAGCTTTAATCCATCAGGTCACGATCATTTTGCTAAGCCACCACACTATATGTAAGTTTGCTATTTTGTTTTGCTTGGCTTGCTGTTTTGTTTTTATGCATGGTTTGCTGTGTGAGTTTGCATTTTGTTATTTATTATTTGGAATGATTTTATTTATTTATTTTAGCAGTTAAGTTACTTAATGTATGAGACAATGCCTATTGTACATTTTGTATTGAATGGCAAATAAAGCTTTTGAATCTTTTGAGTCATTAGAATGTTAACGTTTCAAGCAAATTCAAATTAGTTTCTGGTAGCCTATAAAATAAATTGGGGGTACAGTTTCCTGGGCTTCGTTAATATTGATTGAAACTATCAAATTGAAAATATTGATTAATAAGCGATATTTAAAATATATTTATTTTAAAATTAAACTGCACTTTATGCCTTACGTCCTACACTATAATTCGAATAAACATATCGATCGATCGATAAATCGATTATTTCATTCAATATATCAAGTTTGGTTAGTAAAGTTAACCTAACCTAACTTAGCTAACCGAATGAATCAATAAGTTTACATCAAATAGGCCAAGTCTATCCATTAGTTGCATACTGCGCTTTTAGTTGGATTTTTATACTCATAGAAAATTATGACTATTAGTTTTAATATAACTTCCGGTACTAGACTATTGATCGATTTTGAGCAACAAGTGCTCTAGTTTTTTTTATATTTTTATTTTTAAAGATTTTTGTATGACAGTTTTAGTTTACCATTTGAGTTTTTAGCATTATATAGCATAGCCTATACGTATTTGATACTCTCAGCAGCTGGAGTAGTGTGATTTTTTCTTTGATTATTGTGGCTTTACGTGACAGGTGGAGGTGGATGGCTATAACTTACAAGGTTACATGGTAGCCTACACATTAAATTCATAATGATTTGCCTATTTCGGTAGACTGGCTTTTTCGTAGGCCTACGCTTCATTGCTCTTTACAATTTCAAGAGATCTTTTGTTCAAGGCGTCAATGGGCAACTAAACTTAACCTAAGTTTATCGCCATTCTACCGCATTATAACCCACCCTACAGGGCCCGGATTTTGTAGTAGCAAATGCGCAACTAACCTACCGCCAGGGCAACGGCCATCAAAACATTTTTATGTGTGATAATAAACCTTGTAGGTTAGTCTAAACTTAGTTGATACTACTAAGAAAATAACTTAGCCATCTTAAAGACATCAAGTAATTAAGTAGGCCCATTTTATTGGTCGTTGAATAATCACTGATTACTATAGACTTCGTCTGAGACACATTAACTCACGGTATATAGGCTACTTAAGATCAATAGCGATATAGGCCTATTATCACAGTCGCATTTTTTATGCATAGCCTATCAAATATATAGGCTCTATCACAGACGTTAAAATAAATAATAAGTATAGTTGTGCAGTTAAATAGATCAGGGGTAATAGTACTTGTTGTAATATGTAGTTCTACTTCATCAAATCCATTTCAATGCATCAAGCAAAAGAGCTGTAACCCATGAATAGCCTAGGCTAGTCTAATAATATTTTAAGACATTTTTATTTTATGATAAGTTATTAAAAACATTAGGCTACACTAAGCTAATGAAATCTTCCCATAAACTTAGCCTACTCGGCTTTTAATTTTTGCTTCGATTTTGACTGCCCTACCCGTCAATGAGGTTAAGGGTATAAGTTAGGCCTAACCTATACAAAATCCTGCCTTAATCTGAATGGGAAAACATTATTATTTGCAGATGATACAACGATGCTGTCCAGAACCTTTAGGATTATTACAGTTGTGTGGCATTTGGATCATTGCTGGCCAATCTTAAAGGATCTTAAGCTACGTTTCCATTCCTGCAAATTTGTGCCGGCACAAATCTCCAAATTTGTAGGAATGGAAACATCCTGGCTCAAGTCCCTGCACAAATTTGTGCCCGCCGACTGCGCGACAAAACATGTGCCCGAGCCGCGGGCACATGTGCCTGCAACTCGCGCATGCGCAAGTCCTCCAAACTACCGCATGCTCATAAATGACAGGTAATCATAACCTCAAATTTCGTTGAGTCCGTTGGAGGAAATTTTCGAAGCCACTTTGTACGCGCAAATCTCTCATCAATTGATTAAATGCACCTTCCAATGCTCTTTTAGCCAAAAAACTTCTTATCCACTATCTAGGTAGTTTTCTTCTAAGTTCATTGTATGCACCAGCCATAAATAAAAAAGCAGAGGCTGTTATGTCATCCATGGTGATTTGTAGAACACAATATAATCAAAATCAGCCACCGAACCTCACCACATCACAATAAAAGAGAACACTGCCTTGTCTGCCAGTTGTAGTCGCGGGACTTGTGCCTGCGACTTGTAGGAATGGAAATGTAGCTTAAGGGTACTCACGGCGTAGTGCTTGATATCCTGACCCTAGAAAAGATGACGTGCAGTCAGTGGTGGATCTAGAACAGTCACAAGGGGGGGGACCAGGGTGTCTGAGAGGTTCGGGCGTACCCCCTCCCTCCCCAAAAATTTGTTTAAACTAAGTCTTCAAAAATGGCAGTTTTATACCATTTCTTTGTCCTAAGTTAGTGTGACAAATTATTTTACACAATTTGTATGCACTACTGTATTACATGCAGTCAAAAATATATGACATGTATTTCCAAACTGCGGCTGCCCCCCCCCCCCCTCTAGATCCGCCACTGGGGTGCAGGAGTACTATACCAGAAGAGCACAAAATATAGACTTTTCCTGCTGTCGTCTCAAACGTACCTAGAATAGCTATCCTCGTTCTACTATTAACTACAACTCATAACTGCCTACTCATTTGCAGGAGATGGATGCACCCTCCTTCAGAAGGCGCTGAAAGGAATACTAATTATAGGCCGCTGTAGGCCTACTCCGTAAAAGAACTTAAGGAAGAGCACCTAGTGAGATAAGTGTATGTCTGCCATATCATCCGTTAAACAGCCAGGTTTTTGAAGGTATAGTTTATTGTAAATATTATATATAGAGTTATTTATTAAATCACTTAACAATTTACTAGCTTCTGTGCCCGTGCTTCGCAACGGGAAGATGAACTATACCGCCTAATCCAAACAGTTGTTAAGTAGTCCGAATTTATGAACAAAAGCCACCAAATGTTGGCCTACTGTATAAAAACAATTATGACCAACATTGTAATTGCCCTACTGTTTACGTTAAAATAAATCAATAACATAATATTCATTTTCATATTTGAGTTGTTTTGTCTCAAGATCAATGAACCAACTATAAAAGGTATAAAATTACCTCAGTACTGCCAGATTGATCCTGTTTAGTCCTTATATACGGGTTTTAAGGACTTAAGTCCTCATCATGAGATCTTGTACAAGAACATTTAACACTGTAACTTCAAAAGGGTCATCAAGAGTTTAAATGCGAAACACGGACATATACTATTTACAGTCATAGACGTTTTATGAACAAAACGAGTAGGCTTACTAACAAAAACTTACAATGTCCAACCCCAACCTCGTGCGCACAGTTGCAGATGAGGGTCATGACTGCGATGCGGAAGATGGTTGGGCAGTGGACTGTGTACAGCTCGGCTCCTTGTTCATCAGCTGTTCTTGTTTTTTTATTAGAGTATCATACAGAGCGTTAGACTGTAAACTGATTTTGTCGTTTAATAATGTGTTAGCTTGAATTTTGATTGTTTCATAAATTTCAAATTCTTCTAAAGCATCCATTCCTGTATATTGCTTTTACAATCAAAATAAACTACGCCATGGTTGGTCCCCAGGTACTTATTTCAATTCAGGAAATTAAAGCCTTTACAACTATTATTCAACAAAAACTTCTTTGCACTAACTTGATCAGGGAAATATAGGCCTAGACAAATTATAAAAGGTTTAATTTACCTGTTGCTGATCCTGTTAAAACTGTTAACAGGGGCAGGCCAAGACCATAAAGCACTTCATCCAAAAATAAAATTATTGCGCACCCAATACAGTTGTTTTCTTGAAGTTACAAGTTCAGGCGTCCGATAAAAGCCTGTAGCTTCCCAATTAGATCCTCCTCAGGAAGATATCTATTTCTTGCCACATTAACAAGAGTTATTCTTCTAGCAAGAGGTTAACATGTGTCTTTAACAAGATATGAAAGCCCCTCAAAGATCGAGTTTGTGTCGCACGTTTGTAGGCGGAATAAACCAGTTAAAAACTTTTAGTTAAGGGTACCTATGGTAATTTATTGTAAAATAAGACCTTTTTATTTGAAACTACCAACTACACCAACCCACATAATTTGGTACCCCTGAGTATTTTAAAATTGTGACTTTCTTTACCAAGATTAAAATGTTTGTTTCAGGAAGAAAGATGTAGCCCCAGCTCTGGATAAAAATATTATGGTGAAGGTTGGCCGCTGTACAGGGCAGCTATAGTTATTATTATATGTTGCCTTTTATTGTTATGTACTGTTTTTTATACTTTACCAATAAACCTTATATTTAATCAAGAGCAGTTAATTTTGTTAAAATTCTTACCAGTAAACTTCTCTGTAATTTGTAAAGAAAACATGTAAAAATGATTATATATTTTATTTTGCAAACTATTTTGACAGTTTTATAGATAAAATATTCTTTTTTTAGATATATTTTTTTATTGTTCTTGTTCGTACAGGTCTCAGATAACTATACATAAAGATAAAATGATATTTATATTTATATTATATATGCGAGTGCCAATCTTAAGAAGCAAAGTTAATATATAGCTAGTAAAATAAAATAATGTTGGTGTTTAATGACTAATGAGTGTACTGTAAAAATGAAATAAGTAATTCAAAAGTTGAAACAAAAACTCTATTTAGCCAACCCAATAAAATCACTCAAGAATTTTCCTCTGAATAAATGTTTGAACTTCATAGTCTAGAGGTGTTAGGTTAATGAGACATAAGACTGCTTAAGGGTGTTGCTCAACGTGTAATGAACAAAATTAAATTAAGAAAAACAACAAAAGTAAAGCAAAAGAAAACTTTGAAAAGGCAAAGATCAACAATAATAAGATAAATAAATTTACAACGCTATAATTTACAAGAAAAGAAAATCAATTAAAAATTTAAAAGAATGAGTTACTGACAAACTATATGACTTGTTTGTTTTACAAAACTTTAGTTATATATTTTATTCTTTTTACATACTGTTTATTGTACCAGAAGCACACACTCCGAAACTCTCGATCTTCTTGGTCCAGTGGCCCGTGGTGAACTCCTCGATTTGTTTCTTCAGGTCCTCCAGCTCCGAGGCTCCTCACCCCTCCATTTTCTTCATTAGCCCTTCTCATCAGCTGATTGGGTGTTTGACTTATAGGTTAACGATGTTTCTTGGAAGTCAGCCCTACCGGTCATCGCCTAGCTCACGTCAGCTGGGAAAGGAATTTGTAAATCGATACTCATGCTACTGTTCAACTCTCTTCACACCAACTGGTCGACTATAGTCCTCGCCACCCTAAGTTGAGGCAGCCAAAGGCCGCACTAGATATACGCCGTGCGGCCTTGGGCTTCCTCAACTTAGGATGGCGAGGACTATAAGTGTAATGTAAACAGAGTATCTGCTTAGATGAGCACCGTGGGTACAGGGTTAATCCCCTTTCTTACAATGTAAATCTATGTTGTAAACTTCTTGACATACGAGAACTACTTTAAGGACAATTTATACTAGGCGTATGCTCATTCTTCCCGTATTGGGGGCCTAAGACATTGAAAAAGGCTGTGCTGGTAAAAGCGACCAGAATACACACTAAGACCGAAGACCCTAGTTGTTGCCGCACATAAAAATTATACTGAATGCCAGAGGTCTTGGCACAGATGTGCTGAATGTCTGGCCCAAAGCCCAAACGCACATGGCGAGTCAATAAGAATCTGGGAAATAGTCAATATCCAGAGAATTTTGTTAATGCCAACAATTTTTAACTTATTCTTGGTGGAATCAACCATTATCTTTGGTCAAGTCTTTAGCTAAGACATCATTAAGAGACTGAGACGGTGGTGTCATCCTGTAATTCAGCTACTAGGAGGTCAGGAGTTGTGGATATAGGCATGTACTGTGGATGTGATACTTCGTGGTTTGAATTAACGCCCTTACACAACAATAATAATTAGACAAATTTTTTTATACCAAGGAAAAATGTGGTTCGGATTCTACTATAAACTGTAGGTCCCTATAGTTATCCATTAGCCCAAAGTATGGGCTATTAATTGACAGCTGTGTCTAAGGAATATGTCGGCCTTACTTAGTCACTAACAAGGATACAAAATAGTGCCACTCATCCATCCTACACTCATCTCCATGCATACTGGGACTTGGCTTAAAATACCTGCTTTGTATGGTTGCCATTTCAAATTAAAGTATTAAGCCTAAGGCAAAATGACTCATAATCAAACAGATTTATATCGTCAGCGAACTAAAGGGATCTTGATAACTCTCTTGATGTCTTTAAAGAATATGTACAACTAAAAATATCTGTAAATTTCTTTTGATGTTTTCATGATAAATATGCAATGCAATACAACAAAGTAACTTTTAAACATTAAAAATAGCTGTTAACAACAAATTTTTCGCTAAAACTCTTTACAAAAATCTGAAGGGCAGGTCTAGAATTGATGGCCTCTCAAGTTCGTAAATTGCATCTGTGATGTTGTTTAGTAAGTTCAACGCTAAATGATTAACAGTTAACTTAATTTATCCAATCAATAGTGTTAACAATACTCAATGTTAATACTTATGAAGTCAAACGGAACGGGGTGAAGCCCGTGGATATAACAGCTAGCTGTCTAGTTGATATAAAACACGTTTTTGAAAATAATTCGATTGATGCTTTAAATGCAAATGTTAGGCATTTATTTTATGAGTTATTTAATTTTTCATACAACAGATCTATGGAACATAACAATAAATTATTCTCTTTAGCGCTCCTTTAGCGAAGCACGGGTATGGCGGCTAGCTATAGTACGCTCTATTTCGCAACGGGTACACAAGTTCAGAATACATTTAATTGTTTGATGTAATAATTAAGTCAATAGCCCAAAAGTAAACACATCCGATTTATTGTGCATCCTATGTTCAATTGTGTTTTGGATTTTGTCACATAACCTGAAAACCAGTAAACGGTTACATGGAAATTGTGGGAAATTTCGCTCTACAAGTGCCTGCTGCATCCCTGCATTTATCGCACTGAGCTAGATTTATCCAACAGTGTTGTCATATTGAGGGAGTAACACTAAATTCAGGGGCGTAATCTCGCTGAATAAAATTAAAAGTCTGCAGCAACACCTATTTCAAATTTTAAAAACAGCTTTGTCTGGACTGGAGTTCCGTTTTTATATATTCTACTACTGTATTTAACTTATGGATTTTATTTTGTACCTTTCATATGTGTTATATTTAGCTAATAATCTTAACATATAAAAGTAAAAGCCCTCACTCAATGATTCATTACTAATCCAACTTCCAGACTAGCTAGAACGTTGAAATTTGGTGTACTGATTCTTCAGCCATTAAATAGGAAAACTAAGTAGTAGTTTTTATCCTGATATGACTTTTGGGTTCCACCCAAGTGGTTCTGGAGTTTTCTTAACCTTATAAGTATCTATATTATTAAAAGATTTTGTTGGATTTTGTGTGCAGCAAATTGACCCATAAGTTTGAATGTTTATAGGCATATTGGGTATCTATATATTAAATATAGATACCCAATATATTTAATAGGCAAACACGAATTTTGTGACGTATCCGTTTTGAAGCTGCTATGCATCCACCACGTAGATAAATGCTTTCCATTGACCTACCTTTATGTTGATTGGCATATCACTGACAAATGATCACTATAATGTATCTCAAAACATATATAAGACCTAGAATAATAAAATTTTGCATTGGGACGACAATCCATGTATATGGTGTAGATGTACAAAGTTGGGGGTTTTGCAAAGTTCTAAATTCAAGGGTGGTTTAGGGGATTAAATCTATTTCAGAAGAAATTCGAGTATGCAAGATATTATATTTTGGTCTGTAACTTATAAGTTACAATGCTTGGATCTTAAATCTTATGGAAGATCGGTAGTGTAGAATTAAATTATCCACAACTTTTGTATTTAAAGAGTGTTTTTCTATCTCAAACTTATTTCGAGTAAAATAGGTTTACATTCAAAACTGTGAAAATTTGCTTGTTCCGCCACCTAAAAACTAGTCCGTGTCCGTACGTTTTATCATATGATTACCAATCTTTTATTTTATTAAATAGCATTATTTATTATATCAAATAATGCATAAATCATTAAAAGCTGTTAAAAACCTATCAAGTGTACTATCGTAAGTATAGCTACCGACATTATTACATTTTAGCAGCTTGCTCCCGTAAACATTTGAAATCTTCCATTCTAAAGCTTCAATTCAGTATAGGTTGTTATCATTAACCGGAACTGCTACACAATTTGTTGTAAAACGGTGATAGTTTTCGTTAAACGTTAATAATAGAGTCAATTTTCTTATATTTAAAAATAAATTTAACCGATTTTCGTGATTGAGGTCTCAAATTGATGGTGTGCACAGATTTCACTCTAAGCATCGACATATACATGTATATTGATCTACTGTATTACTCGTCCAAAAAACATATATTTCACTTTTTCGAATTCTTACTTCAATTTAAGATGCATTTCACCAGTTATAATTATACAATCCTACATATTTTGGTATAAGAACCTTCAGTGAAATGCCGGCTTTCATTTAAGCTATTAATTAGTTATCAAAATCGGACGGACTACAAGCAATTGCAATGTGAACAACCAACATATAAATTATTTCTTTATAAGGGTTTTCTATGATTAAAAATCAATAGGTCCACTATTGTTTATGTTTTTTTTTAGTTTTTGACGCAAAATAGTAAGTTAATTAAAGGTTTTAATTTGAGCTATTTATCGTTTGAATCAGTTAAGATCAAGATACTCAATAAAAATTTATAAATTTGATTATTGCTCGAATATGATTTTCATTTCAACGTTGTAGAGTAGCATGGGCCCTTTAGTAATTATTAAATGTACAGAAGGAACAACAAAATTCAAGAATAATATCAAATCAAGAGCATGCCGAGACAGTAACGGGGAACATCATATATACAGTATATATCACTAAATCAAATAATGTTTTTGTGTTACTTTTAATCCTACTTTAGAATATCTGAAATACTTTTCAATAAAGTAAGAGAAAACTAACTGTACCGTTGGAAAATTTGGCTTGGAGTATGATTATGAATGAAAGGAGATATGAATACTTTAGTATTTTTGGTAAAAACATCATTCAGTTGTTCCAGAGAGGGGGTAGTTCCGTTCCATAGCGAAGTCAGTGACAATTTCAGCAGGCTTATAGTAAAGAATAAAGGACGAAAAAGTATGTCGGGCGATACCAACGGCAACAGCTAGTTAATTAATAAAATCTGACCCGTTAATACGGTAGATTT